GCCTCATGGGCTTCACAGTCGGCCACAGCAAGCAAGGACCCAGCTACGTCAGCCGGCGCGACTGACCGCGCGTTTCGAAGGACCGCGACGAGCTCGCCGAAACGTGGACCCAAATCGGGTAGGCTCGTCAAGCATTGTGCACGGGCACTCATGCTGCCAGCTCCGTGCAACAAAGGCACGTAGAGCCAAGAATTGCTCTCGCCGGGCTCAGTGCTCGGCGGGAGGGCATCTTGCCAAGGCAGTGCCATCGGGCATGGCGGGCGGAGCTCCTTGGGGGCCCAGCTCTGGCGACGGTAGACGGGCGTCACCTGCAACCGGCGAGTCTGGCGGCGTATTATGCGGGGTCGCCGCATCCGCGGCAGGTGGCGCAAGCTCGCCGGCGAATGTTGCGGCACTGTTGCGGCGTCGCCGCCTCTAGGGGAGGCGAGTCGGACAGAGTTTCGGCGGCATCAATGTCCGCGCGCCGGTCGCTTGGCTCGCCGAAGCGGGCATCGGGGGCAAGCGCGGCTGCGGCGCCTTCGGGCACGAGGCACATCTGGGCCAGTGCATGCATGGTGCGCTGCCGCCGCGCCTCTGCGCCAGGGCGGTCCAAGGGCGGGAACACGTTGCCAATTGAGCACTCCCTGGGGTGACCTCGTCTAGGCGCCTGCCTCGGCTGCTGGTCCGCGGCAGGCGGGAGCACGTGGGTGGCAGTTTGCTCTGCGCATCTCTGCGCAATACTTGGGCCGTCCCGGCCCCCCGCTCTGCTGGACTCCATTGCTGTCACCCCGACCGAGGCCTCGCAGACGGCTGCGCCCAAGGGCGTCGGACGCGCGCTGTGGAGGTAGCAGTGGGGAGTTTTAGAGGCGTCGCGCGGCTCCCGGAGGCTTGGGCTCGCCCATGCTCAAGGGCAGGGCGGGGAGCAAAGGTGTGTGGGGCAGGGCCGCTTGGTGGAGGACGCGACAAAGCAGCTCTTGGGGCGACTGCCCTGCTGCGGCGGCCAGTACTTCCAACTCTTGCTCGCCCCCGGCTGCCAGGCATTGGAGCAGCTCGGCCGCGGCCACTCGGCCGCGGCCACTGACCCGCTGGCGGCGGTGCTTGGCACATCGCTGAAAGCCCCCACAGCAGGGCCACACACAGGGCCCCTAAAGCCAGCCCGGCACATCCCAACAATGCGCGCATGGCCCCCAACCCGGAACCTCAAACCTCTCGTTTCGCAAGCTTCGCGCCTGGGGCGGCTTCGGGTCGATTCATTGTGAGAGCCGATCGTGGTGCACACCATCCCGCGCAGCGATGACGCGCAGCCTGTCTGCTCGGCGGCGATGCGAAGGCCGAGGCCCCCATGGAGAAAGGCGAGCTCGGCCGCCGAGGTGGGGAGTGGCGCCACACCTGGCCGGGGGCGGCACCGTTGGATCGCTGCATCGGGCCGCGAATGTAGCCGTGGCAGCGGGCGGCAGAACCCGGAGCAGGTACTGAGCACAGGGCGAAGCGCAGAGGGACAGCAGCAACCACGAAGCCTGAAGGTCCTGCAAGAGAGGGATTTGGCGAAGCAGGACATCATGCTTCGCAGCGAGCTGGACAAGCTGCGCCTCGATGTACTCAGCCGAACCTGGGGTGTGCCAAGAGAACGCGGACGCTTTGGACATCGGAGGGGCGCGCCGGTCTCCGACCCACGTCCGTTGGCGTCTGGTGGGAAGCCAGGTGGTGAGCGAGCCTGGCGGCAACGTCAGCGACGCGTGAGGGGGGGACCGTCACGCACGTGTCGTCGAGGAAAGCTAGGAGTCGCCCGTTGGGGTGCAACTCAGCGGGAGCGACCCCAGCGCGTACAAGGCTGGCATCAGGGGATCCCCTGTTCGCCGCCCTCAGCAGGCCCATAGTGCCGATCTCGACAAGGAGTTTTTGCACTGGTCCGCCAAACGGCGCGAAGAAGAGACTCCCGACAGAGAAGCTGGTGCCCGAGCCAAAGATCGACCCGAGGGAGTTGCACAGCCACTTCAACTTGCAATGGCACAAAATAGCGCCGGGAGCGGTGCCATCAACCAGGTGGAAACGAGTGCGCCTACCATCTCCATTTTGCGTAGCATGATGCGGGAGGAGCTTTCCGATTGCGTACGTTCCATGTCTGGCAAGTTTGATGGCTCCTCTGCTGAGAGAGGAACTTGAGTGAAGAGAAAGAGGCGCGGCTCAAACTCGAAGAGCGTGTGGCGCGTTTGGAAAACACAAAGCCGACACCCAACATGGATGTCCCTGATGGAGTGGACCAGTCGATTGCTGTCATGGGGCTCTTTGGCGATAAGTCCGTGGTGGCGGAAGCGTTGGCCCGAGAGTTGTTGAAACATGTGACGGGTTTTTGTAGAGCTTGACATGACGAGCAGCCACTCTCGATAGCCCAAGTACGGCCATGAAGCTCATCTGTGGCCAGAAGAAACATGAGAAAGTGCAAGCCACAATTGTTTGGGTTTCATGGGAGGTTTCGCTACCCGTGATGTCATTGTCAGATACAAATTGTTCAAGGTTGTGGGCCAAGGGTACGATCGAACGCTGCGAACTTTTGGCGCGCCGCGAGGGTTTCCTCAACGCCTTACCGAGTCTCCAGGACACTCAGGTCGCATGGCTCCTGTGGAGATAACACTCGGTTTTCAAAGGTATTCGCTGAGATCAGGTTTGGCCTAAGCCTGAGCATCTGGAGCAACGCCTGCAGGCACCACCCAACCCACCACGGGGCATTTTCTTCCAACACCTGTGGCTAGTAATGAAAGACATCCTCCTCAACCACCCCTCCCAAAAGAAGAAGCGAACCCCTGCATTACAGAAGAAGCAAGTCCCCGAAGGTACACCTACGGGCCCAGCCCACCAGCTGGAAGTAAAGCCGCTGTCCAGGAAAGGCCAAGCTTGCCTCGTCCCCTGCTCTGGGATCAGACGGCCCCCAAGCCCCTACCCGAAAGGTCCAGACACGCCTGGCCCGTGGGAAGAGGGAGTCAAATCGTTCCCCTCCTCATCGCAAGCGGTGGCACCCCACGTCCATGGCGTACTTTCAGTCCTTTGCACAGTATGGTGACACAGGATCAAGTGAGCGGAGGCTGTGAGGCGTACTTTCAGTTTGTGGAGCCTTCGCACGAGGGGTCTGACCTGCGCACCTGCAAACACTTTCCTCGCACTCTCAATTCAACTCTTTTGGGTATTGCCCCAGTCTTGCCGCAATTCGTGAGCGCTCTTGTGCGCGGATAACAAACCTGGCGCGCGCCCGCTTCCACACATTTGCCGACCGTCGTACTGCCACAACGCTGTTGCAAGGTGTGGCAGCGGCTTTTACCAATCCCATTGCTGTTGTCATGCTCCGCCTCGGCCGCTGACGGCGCGTGTGTAGGCATGCCAATTGTTGGGTGCTGGTTGCGCCGGATGGCATCACTGGTAACTGTGGGGAACATTGCGACAGTGCTCGACGCAGTTGCTCCCGCAGCCCTCTTCGCCCGGAGCCCTCTTCGCGTGCTGTCGTAGTGGATGCCAGTGGAACGGCAACATAGCCTGGCACACACGATCTTGCGCGATCGCGAGACTTTGGCCGGATGGCGGACTATTAACTCACTGGGACCGCAACTCGCGGGACGTAGGCGGAATCCATGTCACGCGAGTGGCTGCAGTATGAACGTGCGTTCATGTCCCAAAAATTGCCTCGCATGCTTTCATTCACCAAGCACGGCATTGGCGTTCATTGTCGTTCATTTGTTCACAGCGAATGTTTAAATCACAGCAATACTGGAGAGAAACGCGTCTGGCAACGACCACGGGTCGTAGTCAGAGTGTCTCAAGGCAACTGTGGGGGCATCCATGCAAGATTGATTGGCGTCGCCCGTTCGATCGTCAACACGACATTCGGCAGGTCCACCATGCGCGTGGGCAACGGCGCCTGCTGCACCCGCTCCGCGCTCCAAACATGGGAGGTGTGATCAGGAACAACCAGGGAGAAGGAGCAGCAACCACAATTGAGTGTGACTGCGCAGCTGTACCAGCAGCCTCAACTAGCAACTGGTCATGAGAATCATGGAGGATCCGAGCTGGCTGGGGGAGGGGCAATGGTGCTGCCCAGCTCAGCTTCCTGATCTTCAAAAACGCACACTTCAGGCGATACCGTGAGAGATATGGAACATGATCATCTGAAGGCTTCGATGCTCGAAAAAGAGCATGGGGGTTTAGTTCTAGAGATGTTACGATCCTAGGGCGGGGTTGTTCAGGAGTCATCATCGACGCCCCATAGGCCGTGGTGGCAAGAGTGGCGGGAGGCGCAGGCCAAGGGCCGACTCAAGGGGTGCAAGCGCGGGAGCCGAGGCGGACTTTGCTTGGTTCGCTCTCCGTCCACGCCCCGGGCTTCCTTGTTTTCAAAACCAGAATGGCTCCGTTGACTGGGTGTGTCGTTCCTGAAGGTGGAGCAGCCCCCCGAAGCTGGTGGTGAAGTTGCCAAGACTCTCCAATCGCAGCTGCGCACGTTTGGCGAGCGCTGGCGGGGAGCTCTGCACGGAGGTTGCTTCTGAGCAACGTGGACCGGGGCCTGCCAGGACGCGAAGCCGTGGGAGCGCGCCGTTTCGTACTTTCATGCTGGCCAGACTCATGCGGTCATGGGGTTTTAGGGCTTCAGAGTTTGAACGGTCCCCATGGCCCTGCCCCACCCAGCAGTGGGGTTCAGGGTTCTGTCCTCAAGGTTCGGGTTGGGTTGTGCAGGATTACCAGTTGCGGGTGACTTCCATGTTGCACTTCCAAGGCTAAGGCCTTTTTGCACAAAGCGCATGCTTCTCTGCTGGGGGCACAGCGCCCTCAGGACTCTTAATCTCACACGCGCTCAGACGTCGCCCCGCTCTGCAGCCTCCGCAGCCTTAGAAAACCCTAATCCCTAAACCCTAAACCCTGAACCATAAGCCCTAAACCCTAAACCCTAAACCCTAAACCCTAAACCTCAGAGAACCCGCATGATCGGCTCTCTCTCTCTCTCCCGGAAGCGCCGGCACAGCTGAGATGCCCACGCTGCCTTAGACCAGCCCTTGCCTTCGCAAGTCCTTTGCAGCGGCGTTTTGCTTTGTTCTAGAGTACTGGAATCTTATGATACCAGTATACTAATAATGATAATAATAATAATAATACTAAGAATGGAGTACTGTAATCTTATGATACTAGTACAAAAATAATACAGCAGTAGTAAGAGTCATCATAGTCAGAATCAGAGTCGTCATCATAATATCCTATGACTGCTGCTGCTTGGCTTCCATAAAACCCTAAACCCTAAACCCTAAACCCTAAACCCTAAACCCTAAGATCTCATTGTGAGGAAGAGGGCAGAGCAAGCACTCGGCCTCGAAGGCTCGCTGGCTCATCACGTTGCCCTGGATGTCTTCACATTCCACATCCTGATAGGGATTAGGGTTTAGGGTTTAAGGTTTAGGGTTTAGGGTTTAGGGTTTAGGGTTTAGGGTTTAGGGTTTAGGGTTTAGGGTTTAGGGTTTAGGGTTTGGGGTTTGGGGGTTTCGGGTTTAGGGTTTAGGGTTTGGGGTTTAGGGATTAGGGTTTAGGGTTTAGGGTTTCGGGTACATCCTGCAAGGCACGTGCTGCAGTTGCCGTTCCCACCCGTGTCCCAGGGTCTATTCACAAAATCATGCCCGGCATTTCACGTCAAACCGTCAAACCTGTGCACATCCCAAACACCCTAAACCCTAAACCCTAAACCCTAAACCCTAAACCCTAAACCCTGTAAACTGAGTGGCCTGGTCAGGGCGGAAGGTCTGCTCCTCAGCATCGCGCTTCAGCTTCTCGTAGAGCGTGATGGCTTCCTCCGGATGCCATAGCAGGATCACAACCATAATAATACGAATAGTTGTAGTAGTAATAATAATAATGACAATAATACGAATAATTACAATACTCATAACATTTTTTATGATAATAATAGTAATAACAATAATCATAATAATCACAATAACAATAATAAGAATAATAATGATGGTAATAATGGCAAAAATAGTAGTAATAGTAATCATGGTCATCATAGTAATAATAATAATACTAATACTAGTAATACTAGTAATCATAGTAAGAATCGCAATGTAATAATACACAATATCATACGATTGCTGTTTGCAAGGCACTCAGAAGTCCGGCGTGCACATGTGTGCGGTCTGAAAGCTCAGTCCTCGATCTTTGTGATCTCCTTGAAGTGTGCTGTGTTGGGAATCTTGAGGCAGCGCATACCGAAGGCATGTCTCCACTCCTTCAAGCACCACTTCTGAGCAGTGCCGGATATGTGTCACATATGTCACACTTCCAAGAAGGCGCAAATTCGGCCCTTTCCTGGAAGTGCCTCTCGAATGCCCTCCGGCCCCAGTAGGAGTAGTTCCCACCTGGGTGCTTCCCTTGCTTTCTGAATCACATCTGGGACCACTCTGGCCTTGTGTGGTGCGGGGCCTGCGTCGAGCTAAGATCCGGGCAGATCTCACACTTGTACTCAATGCCTCAGTCGAGGAACCCCTCTGTAGACGACAAGTCAGTTCGAAGACATTCGAAGACATCGCAGCATTCTTCATACCCTAAACCCTAAACCCTAAACCCCAAACTGCATAGCTTATGATATGTGCGTGCACTCGGCTGCCGGCCCATGCCATGAAGCTTGTAAAGCCAGAAGGGAATCGGCTTGCCATCCCAACCTGAAACGAGACTGCACGATGTGCCATGTGCAAAGCTGGGCACGACCTTCACAAGCACCACCAGACCCCAAACCCTAAATCCTAAACCCTAAACCCTAAACCCCACGCTGACCATGCTCTGGCCCCTGCCCAGTGGCAAGTTGAGTGGGTTGTAGATGGGCCGCTCCTGCTGTGGGGCGCGCTTTCAACAACGTTCAAGTATGTAGCCAAGTGTCGATGCGGCATTTTTCCTCCCGGGACATGTTCAAGCCATTTTGGACACGTGCTGAGGACAGCACCTCATCATCGTCCCCGGCATTCGAGCCCACCTGAGTGCCCCCCCAAGACTGCAACATGCAGCTGTCAGACGTCCTTGTGAGCGTTGTGCCCCCATAGGACTTTCAAGGTTTGATCGGAGCAGGCACTGAATGCATCTTCAGCTAGCTAATTTCAATCGGGACCCGTGCTTGCGCGGCTGGATCACCAGTGTCTTGTCATTTTGCTGAGCAAGCGACATCGGCGCCGTCGTCTTCCATGTCTTCATCCTCGTCCGAGTCATCCTTCTCAAGCTCCATCTCCTCAGCACAGGCTGCAGCAGCCGTCACAACCAGACATGACCAGCATCAAACTGCCCAGTCCTCGATCGTCTGGCTCTGCTTTTTCTGCAGGTGTTGAATGGTCCTTGGCTGCTCGCCACGCGTTTGTTTCTCGTAATGGGTAACGCTCTGACGACAGCGTGCTGGAGCTGTTCCAATGATGTTTTGCCGGGTTTTGGGAAGCAAATGGTCTTTTCGAAGGACCCGGTGCAGAGTACCAGCTGATGGCGAATTTTCACTGCTCCTGGCTGGGGGCACTGCTCGTTGATGGCATCGCTCAAGAGGTCGTGCCATTTTGCTGCGCGGCTTTCAAGACGGGCTATTGCTTTGTCCTGACAAGATCATCCTGCCCCAGGCAACCCACATGCCACTTGGAGATAAAGAGAGGAAGGGAGGGAAAGGGAAAGGGAGAGAGTGCGAGAGAGAAAGAGAGAGATTTTAAAAACAAGAGAGGCAAAACAACCAAAAAAAAAAAACGATTCAAGACGTTCGCCTGCTCATCTACCTTTGTGGCAAGCTGGCTTTGATCCTCGAGGCTCAGCTTCTGCCTGCCATGGGCAGAATGCTGCCCACGAGATGATACGCGATTCTCCAAGCAAGCTACACAGTGTGAGCCTGGCACTACAAGTATCAGCTGCCAGAGGAACAGGCACTGAGCAATGTGGAGACGACCAGCTTTTCACGGCTGAAACGCAGCGGAAGTCTAGGCGGATGCCAGTGGCTTCACTGCGATGCCACGGATGTGCCTGGGCACAGGGCAAATATCCAGGCAGTCAACCGGAGATTTTTTTGGTCTTCTTTGGTCCCTTCTAAGGCACTCCGACGCCAGACACCACCCTCAACCCTAAACCCTACACCCTAAACCCTAAACCCGAAACTAGCAGGCAAAAACACACACGCGCGCGGTGCACACACACACACACACACACACACACACACACACACACACACACACACAAAAAAAAAAAAAAAAAAAACACAATTGATGCCCTGCTCTCCCCACGTCTTCTCCATGCGACAAAGCAGCGGGCTCAGGGGCCCATTCCAGGCCTCCTCGTAGCTCTCCAGGTCCAGGCGGGACCAGGGAAGCGACCGGAGGACGCTAGCTGTGTCACCTTTAGGCCGAAGGCATGCAAGGAAACTTTGGATGTTGCCCCCCTAGACGAACAGTCCTTCATAGGAATTATAACAGGGGGCACGAAAATCAATACTAAGGAGTGTTAGTATAAGGGGGAACATCCCCAAACGAACCTGAGGAAAAAAAACAGCGAAAATTGCGGCTCATCGCCAGTTCCCGAATTCTCGTCAACCACAAGACCAAGAAACAAAGCAAACGCTGTGCTGCCAAGAAACGGGCCATGTCGCAGTTGTTCGCAAAGGCGAGCTGCAACGGGCGGAAGATGTCCTTTGGAGTTTAGGGTTTAGGGTTTAGGGTTTAGGGTTTAGGGTTTAGGGTATAGGGTTTAGGGTTTAGGGTTTAGGGTTTAGGGTTAGGGTTTAGGGTTTAGGGTTTAGGGTTTAGGGTTTAGGGCTTGGGCAGTTGGGTGTGCCGATCCACTAGGATCCTGCACCTGATGAGAAAGGCGCTGTGGCCGAGAATTCCAAGCGGCTGCAAGCTTTGAACCTCGTCTTTGAACGTGTGTTGCTAGGATGTTCCGAGCCCCGAATATCTTCGATGCTCCCCTGGCCGGGAATCTTGGACTTCCAGACAGCCTGTTAGTTGAACATGATTCTGGACCGGAATATGCCGATGAGACAGGGCCCTTCGGCCCAGAATAAACCTGAGAAGGGTTATACTGTACTATTTTGGATACTCTTGTAATATTTCTAAGAAAAATATATTGTCACACGATTCGATTCGCCTCGGCTTCCTGCCGAGAAGCGTTTTGGAACAAGCAGACCCCCTGCCAAACTTTGTGACGCACCCCCCCCCAGCCTGTGGGAACCCCCCCGCCCCCCATCGCTTGGAGGAGTGAACACCCCCGTGAACCCGCTCCTTGGACCCCCTGGAACCCCCCTTGGGACCCCCCCACCCTGAAACCTTTCTGGGACCCGTCCCCTTTTTTTGAGGCCCGTCCCAGAAACCTCCTTTCGGCCCGGCCGCCGAGGCGGCGCGCGCAAGCGTTTACAATTACTTTGTTAGTACATGGGGATTTACAAAAAGTTTGGGGACCCCCCAAGTTTGATCCCACATCATCGGATTCCCCTATAAGAAGGACCCCAATAAGGCATCCCTGAATTTCGGACACCCCCGTATCCCTAAACCCTAAACCCCAATCCCCAAGCCCTAAACCCTAAACCCAAATGTTGTAAACGGGCCTGCGCCGTGCGCAGGCCAGAGCCGGGATCTGCCGCAACGTGCTCGATGAACACAAAAACCCCACCTCCCAGGAGAGGAAGAGGGGGCTTAGGGTAGAGGGCTTGGGGTTTAGGGTTTCGGGTTTAGGGCTTGGGGTTTAGGGTTTAGGGTTTCGGGTTTATGGTCTAGGGCTTAGGGTTTAGGGTGCTTCCCCTACAAGGTACCCTGCCGGCATCTACAATGCGTCTTCCACCATTGGGGTGTGGTTTACGGCGCCGTCGCGTTCTCATGCATATCCTTCCCGCAATCTCTGGGGTGAGCTTTGCCCTGCGCGCCTTGACATATGACCAAACGAAAATGGGAGATGGCGTGGTGATTGAGCAAACATGTCAACCCCGAAAAAATGGAGCCCATACCGACTCTTGATAAGCACAACCCGGGCCCGAACACATCTTTGCTCACAGTGCTCTCGGTTGTCAAGTATCACGAAGAGACAAGGCGTTCAGGCGAGCGGTTTGCTAGCAAGCAATGGGGGGAGGGGGGGTGAATACCTTGTGTGCATATTCACCTACACACCCACAGACTGAAAATATTCGTGACTGACCCTTTTCTGGAGTTCCCTAAACCCACCCTAAACCCTAAGCTGCTTTGACAGACAAGGTACCTGGCTTCAGGACTCGGAAAATCTGCTTCACCGTGGCCAGCTCATCGTCCACAGAGCACAACACCTGAAATGGCGCAAGTCTGCAGAATGACCCGGCCGGCTTTGGAAGTTTCATCGCCCATACTTATCGGCGTGGAAGGATGCAAGCACAAACCACGAGTTTGCTTATTCACGTTCTTCAATTTTTGGTTCAGAAGGCTTCGGATTTTTCTCAAGGATGTCACTCAGCAGGTTTACCATTCACACGACACTGTTGCGCGCAAGCCCCGCCACATGCGGAGTACATCAAGCAGCATTCTGCCATCACTGTGTGGCTTTCTTTGCGCCCCCGGATCCAGGTAAGTCTTATTGCGAAAATCTCATTGCACAGTCTCTGATCGTCCACCACAAGCGTGCAAGCTCTGATCATTCATTCTTTCGATGGCTTCACGCTACGTGGCCTACTGCTTTGGGTAGAAATGCCCTCGCGCGTCTTGAGAAGAGCGTCCGCCAACCCTGGGCGGCGTGTTGGAGGGTTCGGAGGGAACCCTCCCCCCTCCCCTCTCTCACACCCTCCCAAAACCTCAAAATGCGGAAGGAGGTGGCAGGCTTTCGCGAAAACAGTGGTCGGGGTTCCTAGCAGTCGATGCTTTCGGTTTTGCACTGCGGCGCACATTAATCCCTTCCCCCTAATGTGAAACCGGGGGGAGGGGGCCCACCCCCCCCCCCCATAGAAACTCGAAATGTGTTTTTATCATTAGGGGGAGGTTTTTATCCAAATGTCATGTTTGGGCTCCAAAGGGTTTAGGGTGTAGGCTTCAGGCTTTGGAGGGGACTGGGAGGGAAGGGAGGGAAGGGAGCTTCAGGATGTTGGTTGGCTTGAGGGTTTTAAAAGCCCTGAACCACCCCCTAATTCGGAATGGGGTTTACAAGGCGGGGTCGGTTTCGGCAGGATTCTCCGGAAAGTGCTTTTATAATTAGGGGGTGGCATTTAATAAAAGGGGGAAGGCGGGGACTCGCCAATGTACAAAGAATGCAGACATCAGATGCTAGCACGACATTGGTGAGCATCTTGGCTTGCACCCCTAAAACCCTAAACCCTTAACCCTAAACCCTAAACCCTGAACCCTAAACCCTAAACCCTTCACCCCGCTCCCATGATCTTCACTGCCAAAAGGCGCGCTTGGCCAAAAGCAGCGAGGCACTCTCGGAGGGGACCTGCCCAGGGGCCGAGTCGCAGAAGCTGGGTCAAGTGCCTTTAGAACCTTTGGCTCTACAGGTTGGTAAAGGGGGGGGGGGGGTTTCCGAAATTGGGGGTACCCTGTTGGGGTGCCCCTTCAAAGGGATTCTCTTCTATTTTGGGGTACCAAAGGGGGCGCCCCTTGTTTGAGAAATACCCCCCCATATTTCCCAGGAGGCCCCCCTGGTACCCGAAGCTGAGGTTGACATTTGGGGAAGCGACTGAGCAGCGCCCTCCTCCCCATGCCTCCGAGATGTCTGCTGCAAAGCTGACGTCGATTTGGCCGCCAGACTCAGAAGCCACGTCCCGCGCCTCAAGAAACCTAAAACCCGGAAAAAAATCCTGCAGCTCTGCAGCCCCCAAAACCCTAAAAGAACCCAACACCGTAAAACCCGAAACCCTAAAACCCCAGACCCCCCCCACACACAAAACACAGGTTCTTAGGCTAAAGCTGTGGCGCTCTGATCCCTCTCGTGACTCCTCAGGGAACCCTCAAAAAACTCAACCCTAATTCCAAGCTGCCAAGCGGCTTGTGACTCGGCTTGGGGCCAGGTGAAACGATTTGGCTCCACACCGAGCACGCGAAGAGGTTTCAGACCAGTGGCCTGATGGGGAGTTTGGGGTTTAGGGTTTAGAGTTTAGGGTATTGGTAACTTAGGGCATAGGTTCGGGTTCGGGGCTGTAGGTTTTACCGTTTGCTGGTTTGTGGGGACCTTGCACAATCAACCCCAGCAAGGGACTTTGACTTAGAACAACATACCTTTTGAGGGCTTCCCCTTGTAATTTGGTGACGCTGCCTTGAGGAATAGAATTCCCGCTTCTGATGATGGGATTGTTGTGCCCTTACCCGAGGGCGCGTAGTGATGCAAAGTCAAGAACACCCCTAAACCCTAAATCGATGCTCACACTCCCAGGCCAGCTTTGGCGTTGAGGGTTCAGGCATATTATTCTAGTAAAACATCATGGTCGTATATTTACTGTGGTATATCCTTGTGGTAGTCGATTGTTATGCTAGTATCATCTCCCTGGTATGTAGGTTCTGACTGTCGTAGTAGATTTGGGGGCTCTAGGGCTCCCGAGCTGTCGAGGCGCCTGCAGGTACCGCAGGTCGTTGCCGCTGCCTGCGCCAAGGTCCACAGCAAGGCCATCGCCGACCTCCAGGGGCGGATGGTGTTCTTACATTACTATATTTCTCACATTAGTCTATTCTTATACTGCTGTACTGTTACGGTATTCCTTTTCAAAACATTGTTATACTATTCTGGGCCCCTGCTCCCTTCTACCAGCAGGGTGGCTGTGAGCCTTGCACAAAAAAACACAGGAGCACGCCTTCCGTGCCATCTCGCCGGCTTTCGCCATGAGCTCGGCTTCATCCGAGTTGGGCGTGTTGTCAGGGTTGAACTTGTCTACCTGCCACTGGCAAGGGTCGCCGTTGCGATGCGCTCCAAGTTTCTGGGCCGCCTTGCCTGGGCAATGTACCATAGGTAGCCATCCATTCTCCGCACCTGCAAGCCATCTTTGAATTTGGGGAGGGTTGTTGCAGAACACATTGACAGCGTGAAAGCAGCTCAGAAACTGATGGTGTTGCTGACACAGCTATCGTGGCGATGGCAGAGGTCATCTTGACTTTTTGATTTGCTTGAACTATGAACCCTGGGCCAAACGCCTCTGGAACAAACAGTGATGCGGTAAGAGTGAAGGTCGCACCACGGACGATGATTTTACCTGATTGCAGCACGGTCATCGGCAAAGGTTCCCACAATGCTTCTGCTGTGAATGCACATGCTGGCAGGCTTCTACGCTACACTGCCCCAGTCGCAGTGCAGCGATGCCAAACTTCGAGAGGGCCCGCCAACTACCAAACAAATTCACCTACTTTGCCACCGCGCCGCGCAAGTCACTTCGAGATATGACCTCAGCAGGCGCGAAGCGGGAAAGCTGCGTGGCATTGACCACTGTGTGGTCCCCGAGCATGAGACTGTAACATTCGGCAGGCACATGATTATAAGTTGCTTGTACATGCTCGACGCAGTGCCCCTTGCGGACCCCTTCCGATGCAAAATCTATTCCATTCTGCCTCGCTGTCAGCGGCTGCAGCTCGCCGCACAGCTGCACGTGGGTGACCTCTCCGGTCTCTCTCCCAAAACACGTAGGAGGTCCTTTTACTCACTGTGGCATGCTGTCGGCGTCAATGCATCCACTCACGGGACCTTTTTGCAGCTCAAAGGCCGGCCACCCCCTGTACAACCCAAATTGAAGTAGGGTATATATTTCTTGTACCCCAAAAGGACACCAGGTATATACACTCACCAATATTTAAAAAAAGGAACCTTATATACACTCACCAAAAACAGAAATATAAAACCTGCTTGTAAATGATGTCTTCAACCCCTATGGCCACACCAAGACTCCCAAAGAGAACGTATTGGCCCTGAAAGATCAAGGCCGCGACTGGCATCCCCAGGAACTCCAATACCCCGTAGTTCAGGAATACTCCGTAAATCATTGTGGGGTTCCTTGTGTGGTTTAAGGAACATGCCTTAACTAAGGGGTATTGGAGTTTCGGGGGTTTAGATGACCAGGATTCTCGGCCCAGTACTACCGCCGACTTTGCAAAAGCCCCGCGCCTGCGTCACCGACATTGACCCATGTGGGTGCCAGGCAAAAGGCCGCAAGCACAACGGGCAACAGCCGGCGCATTGGCTTTCAGAGCGTGTAGAAGTTGTTTGAACTGTTGCTTGGGCGTTCAGGAGAACGAGAAGACAATCTTGTCCAAAGCTGCGGAAAGCATCTGAGAGCAAGGTTGATCCCCGGGCTTGACACTGATTGGCACCTGCCCGGCTTGCTTGGCTTGCCTGTAAGGTGTCACATATGGGCGTCATGTGCTTGCCATGCACTTGTGCAAAGCTTGCAGCTGCGTTCACCATAAGCCCAGCAGCATTTAGGGTTTAGGGCTTAGGGTTAGGGTTTGGGGTTTAGGGTTTAGGGTTTAGGGTTTGTTTAGGGTTTAGGGTTTAGGGTTTAGGGTTTAGGGTTTAGGGTTTAGGGTTTAGGGTTTAGGGTTTAGGGTTTACGGGTTAGGGTTTAGGGTTTAGGGTTTAGGGTTTAGGGTTTAGGGTTTAGGGTTTAGGGTTTAGGGTTTAGGGTTTAGGGTTTAGGGTTTAGGGTTTAGGGTTTAGGGTTTAGGGTTTAGGGTTTAGGGTTTAGGGTTTAGGGTTAGGGTTTAGGGTTTAGAGCAGCCCACATGCAACATGGCAGCCGGGCATCTCCGCGAGCTTCTTCTTATAGAGCTTGCCACCCCTTCAGTGTGCAGATCAGATGAAACACTGGGTTTAGGGTTTAGGGTTTAGGGTTTAGGGTTCAGGGTTCAGGGTTTGGGGTTTAGGGTTTAGGGTTTAGGATTGAGGGTTTAGGGTGTAGGATGCCATTCAGACAACTCTGACTCCAAGGGGGCGGCTCGTGATTGGTCTTGAGGATCTCCTTGTTGAAGAGCTTGTTGGAGGGCATGCAGAAGAGCTTGTCCTGCACCGCACGGCAGCATGTTGAGGCCCCCCTAAACCCCGTAGCCCCTAAACCCTAAACCCTCAACCCTAAACCCTAAACCCTAAACCCTAAACTCTAACCCTAAACTCCTGGCCTCATCTTGCGAACTGCCAAGAGTCGTGGCTTGACAACATTAGCACCTATAACACGTAGCACTGAATACTGTTCAAGGAACTTGCACCTGACCTCCTAAGCCATGCTTTGCATCGTGCCTCCGCAGCCAAAGGACCCAACCCTAAAGTCCAAATGGCCACCAAAACACCCTAAAAGCCCCGAGGTTGAAGGTGTAGGGTTTAGGGATCCCCTTATACGATGACCCCAATCATAGGGCACCCCTCAGTTCGGAACCCCCCCCCCCCCCCGCCAAAAAAAATAATATAACAACGAAACATCCTCCACCAAACAAACCCAAAAAAAAAGACGGAGGCATCGGACTCCTTGTAGGTCGGGTCTTGCTAGCCCGGGATGCTCTTGTCGCCCCATCTCTCCTCAAACTCCTGACAAGAGGGATTCTAGGGTTCTTAGGCTCCTTAGGGTTCTTAGGGTTCTTCGGCTCCTTAGGGTTCTCAGGGTTCTTAGGGTTGTTAGGGTTCTTAGGGTTGTTAGGGTTCTTAGGCCTTTTCGGGGCTTTTAGGGCTTGGCGCGTGGGATCTAAGGTTTGGGTCTCGCTTTTTGGGGGGAATTTGGCTTTTGTTTACAGGGCTCATCTTATGACCAGGCTGTTGGGCTGTTGCTTAGGGTTTAGGCTTTAGGCTTTAGGCTTTAGGGTTTAGGGTTTAGGGTTTAGGGTTCAGGGTTCAGGGTTTAGGGTTTAGGGTTGATCCTTCTCGAACTGCTGCTCGAGCTTGGCGACGTCGATCTCAGGAGTCCCAGGAACGCAACACATCGCAACACAGCAGCTCGGCACTCGTGGGTGCCTAAACCCTAAACCCTAAACCCTAAACCCTAAACCCTAAACCCTAAACCCTAAACCCTAAACTCCTGGTTCTGGGCCCCCGGACCAAGGGCTGCGTCCGGAGGAGGAAGCCTCGCAGGTAGGAGATGAGGCCTTCCAGGTATTCCTTGGCAGCAATGTTTATTATTATTATTATTATTATTATTAGTATTATTATTATTGTTATTATTATTATTATTAGTATTATTAGTATTATTATTAGTAGTCTTATTATTATTATTAGTATTATTAGTATTATTAGTATTATTATTATTAGTATTATTATTATTAGTAGTCTTATTATTATTGTTATTATTCTTTTAAATTCCATAAGCTAATGCGCCCAAAGCGTGGGGCCCCTGCAGAGTAGTTCTTCTCACCTGAGCTGTGACGAGGGCAGCCATGGGATTAGGGATTAGGGTTTAGGGCTTAGGGTCTAGGGTCTAGGGTCTAGGGTTTAGGGTTTAGGGTTTAGGGTTTAGGGTTTAGGGTTTAGGGTTTAAGGGCTGAGGGCTGAGGCCCCTCAGCCCGCAGATCCTAGGCCCGGAATCTCGATGCACCAGCCAACTTCAGAGACCTCTGCTGCGGCCCAAGGCACCGTACTTGCAGTATCTGCTGATCTCGTGGAACTGATCGAAGGTCTTGAGCCACTCTATGTAGTCCAGCTCGTGGTACTCCTTCTCGACCGTCCTTCAAAGCTCTCAGAAAGGTAGCTTACACCATGCCTTTCCTAAGCGCCGCACATCGCACCGGCGATGAAGCTAAACCCTAAACCCTAAACCCTCAGACCCTAAGACCCTAAACCCTGAACATGTTGCAACCAAGCCACTTGTCCACCTCGGGATCATCCGGCTCCAGGTCGATGGTCTTCTTTTTGAGCCGGGCGTAGGTCGCTGCTCTGAAGTTGTTCCGCCTGGGTACGGGCGCGACTGCATACTGGAGTGGACCGCGACGCTGTTTCGTGGAGCCTCAGCGTGGAGATCTTCTTGAGGTTGAGGTACGTGACAAACAGCTCGTGCATGTCAACACCTGCCCCATGATGCTCGTAAGCACACAAGCGGCACTTCACGTGCCGGAGACGTGACGAAACAAGTTGGCCAAGTGATCCGGCATCCAAGGGCTGGGATCCGAGCGCTTGCCGTAGTCCTCCTCACCCGAGAAGAGCGTCTCCGTTTTGTCATTCTCCAGGGCTCGCTGGTAAAACCTCCACTCCACGGAGAAACGAGGGATGGGCTAGTTGCAGGACACTTGTATGGAGTGTGGTGCCCATGAATGAACACTCGGCCACTCAGCAGCGGGCCACTCGGAGTTCTGTACTTCAGGCAAGCCCTGATTTATAGAGAAGCGGCGGTGGTAGTCCTCTACTCGTGGGGGTGGCTCACTGAACTACGAGACTGCGTCTTCAAACTCGCAACTGCTTGCCAGCCATCCTTCACTTCCTTGACCTTATCGTAGAAGCTAGTCCAGACATCGCCTGCGATAAGGTTCACACAAGCTACCGAAACTTGAGAATGACAGCTCTTAGATGTGGGTAGAGCTACACGAATGCCACGCGCGCCACGTTGCTGCGAGTGCTGCTTCATGTTGCCTCCTTTCTTGTCTGCACGTTGGCCAGCCAGAGCATTGATGTCATCGGTGCGCATGCCATCCTTATCCTGCGGCTGCAAAAGCTGCAAGCAGGCAACTGCGTTGCAGACACAATCTCCTTCAGATGCAGGCGCACGAAGAAACGGCAGCCCCTTACAAGTTCAAAGACAGCTGCGGGCCGCGGCACGCCTGGTAGATATCAATGGCTGTCTTGCACTTGAGCTGGGTCGCTTCGACCAAGTACTTCAGTGCCTTGGGCATTGAGGGGTTGCAGCATCTCGTCCCAAGAAAAGCCGGACAAAAAAAGGCCAGGCATCTTGCATGTTCGCATGACACTGCCGCCTTTGAGTTCTTGTGCCTCGGTAGAATCAGGCAGGAGATGGCAGGAGTCACAGCAGAACCAGAGGATGCATCGGATGCATCGGATGCATCGGGATGCACATCGATGTGCCGACGAGGTGCTTATCCATCAAAACCATGCTCATGGCCTTCTCGATGTTCTCGATGTCCTGTTCCAAGAGAGAAGGCGCGAACTCGGGATGCGCCAACACAGACACAGCCTCATGCGCCGAGCGCAGCTGCTCAAGGACAGAGAAACTCATGACTGCTCTCGCCTGCAGGCAGCTGTGGGGTCATGCAGAACTCATGCATCTTCCACCGGTAGGGTAA